TTGGGCCCTGAAAGTATTTTAATGCAGGTTTTAAAGTTGAATCTAATCTAATCTAATCTACTTCAATGATAAGGTACAATACACAATATAAGGTCACATATTTCTCTCTGTATTTCACAATTACAAATCACATACACAGTTTTACCCAAGTTACATTTAATACCATTGTAACAGTTTGCCTTATAATCAACCTTGAAAACTGTGCATGGTCTGCTCACATATTCTCTCTCTGCTTTCTTCCAGGTTATGAGTGGGGATATGTGAATACATCAGAGACGTGAGTACATATCATTCTTACACCCTGTGATTACCAGTAATTAACACCATGATGCCATCTTGAAACTCTAAATGTCCTTTGCACATTAACTGTTGTTTATTTCCACAAGTAAAGAGGACATTGATGACTTTGCACTGCCTAATAATGCATAACACTTATTTTGTGACCCTTTTCACTCTGTGTTGGGCCATTTGCCTCTGAACTGTTTATGCCTCGGCTTTAAATCTCTATTGAACATCACTGATGCCAAGTGGTGCAAGCAATAACATGAATAATCCATTGGCAGTTCCTGTTAGACCGAAAGAGAATGAGAGCTCAATTACCATCATACTCAGGGGGAGTAAAACCAGGCAGTAATGCCATAAGCCTTTCTCCCTAAAACCTGAATATGCTTTGCACATTGCAGTTGTAAACATCCATCTTACGGAAGAATGTAATTGAAAGTGTTCAATAATATCTGTGAGCATTTCACTGTAAATGTATAATCACTGCAGGAAAAATACATTTTGCACGTGATTTGTTTTGTATTCACACAGCAAATCAAGAAATGCACTTGCCTGTAGTAATAGACAAAGTAGTAATAGACAAACTTCTCTCTTGGATCAGAGCCAACTCATAAAGCATCCTTACAAACTGCAGCAGGTCACCCAACCCTGAGTAGGAGGAAAATATCCTGAGGCTTGAAATGATCGACCATTTTGACCAAAACCAGAATAAACAAAATCCTATTCTACTATTCTTACAATGCAATAAAACCATTAACTGTCTAATGTGCAGATCTTTTGGAGATACTGTGCTTTGAGAGGTTCCACATCATGAAACTGAGCTCTAGATTTCTAAAACACTGAAAATGTTTTGCTGCTCACTTTCCCGTTCCCTGGCAAGAACGAAAGGGGATACATCTAACGGCTCCTCAGACCATTTTAAATTCATCATGCAGACCTACTGCAGATTCCAGGCACGTCCCTCAATCTGCCTGTGAAATGAAGAGCCAGAGGCGACTGACCCAGACACATCAGCTCCTTTTTTGGACATCTAACACTTTCTAAAGTCTTCATACTCACACATTGATTTCTTATTTTCAGCTTGCTGCTGCCTTCTCGGACATGGCTCATGCTCAGACTTTGTGTGGAGTGAGTGGGCAACAAGTAGCCTGCAGGGCAATTGCATTTATTTTTCATCAATACTTTAAAAGAGGTTCTCTTAATGTATAGTAGATTTTTGCATCTAAAAATATATATAATTACTTTAAAAGAAGCAAACCACATCACAGAGATGTGTGATGTTTTTCAATACATCCTCATTTCAATCACACATAATTTACAGCTATTAAAAACAGTATCATGGGTGATAAAACGGTTTAATCATCTTAAAGTGTTTACAATGTAGATATTATATCCATTTCCCACACGTTTTAATGTTTATACATTTTATTTTCTGTCAAACATCACTTTCTTATATCTGATTTCATAGTTACAATCTTTAATCAATAGTGCAAATGTTTGATGATCCAGTCTTAGAGCAGTTTTCATGATGCTAGCTGGCTCGATTAGAAACTGCTCTCTGTGACAGTTTCAGGTAAACATGTGTGGTATTGGTAAGGTTAATGAAATGTTCAGGTTCAAACTGAATCTACACATTTGATTGGATGATGGAGGTCTTGAGGGCATTTGATACTGTTTTGCCAGAACAAAAAAAATAGACTTTGACGTAAAAACACTCTGATACAGATCTTCTGACATTTATGGTGAACAAGGATACATTACGCAGAAAAAAATGGGACAACACATTTTTCATTTCACATAGAGAAGAGGTTGGATCAGTGTAAACCCTACAATAGCAAGCAATGCTTTAAAAACTCCCATACCAGAGTACATGAAATGTTAGTTTTATGTGAAACATCAAAAGTGCTTCCTGTGACAGATGTTAAACAACAATAAATACTGATCAGATTCTACTCTACAAGTTTGAAGAAGGATTAATGACAATCCTTTTCTATGATACTGCATAGACAAAAAGACTAATACAAAGCCTGTATGCAAAGTTATATTTAAACAACTCTAATAAAATACTCAAATAACATATTTAAGTACCCTGCTGAGTGTCGTTTTTATCACAACGACCTTGGACACTTGCATGACTGCAGGATCTTTCTCTCAATAAAAAAAGTATATTATATAGATGTATATCTATATAATATTATTATTATTATTAACCTGATTGTCTGGAAATATGTGTCTTTATCTTCAGATATTATGTCAAAAATCTCTGCAAGGCAAAGTGGATTTAGGACATTTTCCACCATGGAGCATTTGTTGTGTTCATTGGACAGATATGTACCATCATTAGTTTCATTCAAATAAAAAACAAAACCTGTTGAACAGACAACTGTTCCTCATTTACACAATCTTGATATGTAGTTTGTAAACAGATGATTATTCAGTGTTGACCTGAGTCTGTTTCTCGTCCAGCGCATCGACTCCACAGGAGTGTTTTCCACCCAAGAATCTTCATCCAGGGAGACGTTATTCATGGAGTGCTATTTAAGAGGGGGCCTGATTGTTGTCGTTGTGCGACGTCCTGTTGAGCAGACATGATGCTCTGTTTTAACCTCTTGGTAAAAAGGTGGCTGGCTCTTCCACAGTAGGTGTGTGTGGTGGTCTGTAGCGATGCTTCTAGAGGCTGAAGCAGGAACGCCTCCATGTTCTTGCCAAACTGGTACTGTGATGTAAAGGAACATGTGCAAGTATTAGATTTCTGATTCCACACATATGATCACAGAAGGTCCTATAGTATTATAGTGTTGTACAACTTGTACAGTAATGTGTCACCGTCAGCTCTTCTCCTGCTGAAGAAAAACAAAGCATGTTTTTTTTAAAGGAGACATATGATGCTGTTTCAGTTTGTCTTTCCTCTAGTGTGTTAAAGGTGTTTTGTAACTTTTGCAAAGTTAAAATCCTTAAAGTCTGCAGTAGACAGAACACAACACACTGCTCCTGAAGCACCTCGTAAGTAATCCAGATACTTCCTTATTATTGGGATGCAGTAATCAACAGTTTGAGGAAATTTCTGACCATTAGAGCATGTATAATGCAAACATCCCATGTTAACATTATTAACCTGAATATATCAGTATATCTCTGATGAGAGCTTCAACTGCAGCATTACAGATAAGCTTCATTATTTTATGCTCTTGTGTCACAGAGTAAAACTCTTTAGCCAGTTGATAACACTTCTGTTACATACATGATGTAAATCAAGATGCAAGCTTTTTTTTTTTTTTATTAATAAAAACATTGTTTTAAACCTCTAGTAAATGCGAACGAAATCACTATTTTACAGCATTGATATGACTCTAATTTCACCAGGCATCACGTTACTCAAAGCAAACTGTCTTTTTCATCATTCATATAGTGCAGTGGGCAATAAAACACCATTAACAGCCTCCTATCGATTTTTTATGTGGATGCTGCTGGTACGTTGTCCACACAGCCATCATGTCTCAAACTAGCATCAGCACTAAAAATTTTACTACTCTTCTGTGGGCTTGGCTGGGTAATGGTAGTGCCCTTTATTGCGAGCTCCTCTGCTAACTGGGCAAGCCCACCATGGGAGCCAGACTGACTAAGGAGCTCTTGGTGGGATGGAAATGAGTTTCCCTCAGAATTGCCTGCTCCAGGCTTTTGGATGCTGTCCTCAAAGGGCTGAGTGGGAACAATGTGGGTGGGGGGCCAAAGGAGCTGGACCAACAGGAAGAGTTGATAAAAGCACCAACAAAATATGGCTTATAACTACAAAAGGATGAAACACTCTTCAGTTACACCAGGCTCTGCTTTAATAAGATAAACTACAAAGCTCCATATCTTAAATGTATCTACTTAATACAGGTCACGTTTCACGATAACAAATGACAAAGCGAAGAATTCTTCAAGCTCTGACAATCAGGTGAAATATGGTATGTGTTGTCTTGGATGCAGTGTGTGTGTCTGTGCTGTCGGAGAGACTGATGGAGACGTGGGGGGCCGAGTGCCCCATAATGAAGCCTGCTCGTTTACTTAATGGCTGAGAACATTGCCCGCACTGATAGTGGCCAGGCTGGGCCCTGTGGCGGTAATGGATGGAGACCAGCTAATGAAGCTTCCCTTGCTTTCCTGCCTGCATGTTGACCAGAGTGCTGAAATCAACAAGAGCAGATCGAAGGTGTGCAGAGAGGGAGAGAGAGAGTGCACGCTCTCTGGCTGACTTTCCTGCTCAGAGATGACGGTCACACATGATGCAATAAAAAAGCGAAAAACATTTAAAGCAAGTCTGACGGATCTAGAACAATCCAGAGCTCCTGGACCAGTTTGAAACAACGATATTATCTCATGTCCACAAAATACCATTAGAACTAACACCTTGAATTATGAGGACGTGCAATATACTGTATGCAACAGGCTCAGTGAATCTTCGTGTTATAGTTGCCAACATTTCAAGCAAACCATTCACTGGTCGAAACTAGGTAGGGCTGATTTGTCTGCTTTGGGAGAGCTGAGACAGAATGACGGAAATGTTTAACAGACTATTGATTAAGGACGGGTGGATGGGAACATCCATAAGAGAAAAGCAATGGCCTGGAGAGCCTATTGATAACATAATGACTAGCAAATGTTTCTCCAAATAGTCTGGTCTGCTCCCACAATTGTTCCCTAAAGAGGCTGAGGCACCAGACAGAAAGTCTATAAAAACATATTCACTAGAATAAACAAAGCCTTTCAAATATAACATCCTTTAACATGTTCTATTGAACCATCAACACATTTTTCCTTGAGAGAATAAATATGTTCAATTCTTTTCAGAAACCTTCAGAAAGACTTGGTGATTGCTAAGAAACAAGAGCCCTTCAGGAAATACAAATTTTCCTTTTATTCTACTGTGAGGGCTCAAAGAAACCAGACCTCTGACTAGCTGAAGCTCTCCTTACCTTTTGGATGGCTTCATAGACGGCTCGAAACGCTGGCTGCTTGTCATCATGGTACACTCCCCTGTTACCATGGAGAATGAAGACACCTTCTTGTTCAGCCTGTTGACAGTTGCTGCCATAGATACAGTGGTCTGGACGGTAGTTCCACTGGCAGGGGAACACATACAGGCTCTCTGTAATGCAAAAAGAGGCAGGGTGGGCTGATTATTATAAATAACTAAATGTATTCAAAAGAAGCCAGTCAAATCAAATATTTGTTTATTCAATAGGAAATGTCCAAAACAACAACCAAAATGTCTTCAGTGAAGACTTGTTTGTTTCTTGAGCATATTGAAAATATCAGTGTGTACCTGGGTTATGATGAAATATGATATTTAGTAGGTCCTGGTCCCCCCAAGTGATATTGAGTTTATACTTCTGAAGAAGAGGCATCAGAATTTCCTCCCACCGCAGTGCAACTGTGGTCATGTCATTCTAGAAATATAAAATATAGCATTCAGACAGCATTTATAATATTTTGTATCAGGAAAACATAAACCTGCAATTCTATTAAATAATTCCCTTTGCCGACACTTCACCTCAACTCAAACACAGTTTTTTCTGTCAAAGAAATTACAAGACTGACATCAACTGGTCAATGTCGGTGGTGCAGCTACTCCTACTCCTGACGTCATAGAACTGACATAATGCTGTACACATTTAAGAGAGGTTTGCATACTGCACACTACTAGATGGTTAAAAATAATAAAAAATCTACCTGAGTATTACCTTAAAAGATTTCTCCCTGAGGCGAGTCATGTTCATGAGCATGACACCTGAGTTGATGCCCGTCTTGCCATAATAAGGGTGACGGGCAAAACGGTTGTACCAGCCGATACGTGGCTCCTCGTGCTCTGGAGCCATGGCACCTAAGTGGCTTGAACTGAACTGAGAAAGCAAAGCCCACATGTCCTCGACCGGGCGAAGGAAAATTATATCTGTGTCCACATACAGCAAAGAATCCACCTCCTTCAAGATCAGCTGGAAACAAAACAGAGATATTCTAATAATGTGTTGCACATTTATAACCATTACAAATCATACAGTATATGTAGACGATGACTCCAGACTAACTGGGAGGAAGAGTCTCTGAGAAGCACAAGGTTTGAAGAGCTTCTTCCACTCCTTTGCATTCTCCTTGGGAAAAGTGATGGGATAGATGGTGAACTTAAACTTGGTTTGGACTGTTCTGGGCCAGGATTCCAGCTTTAAGAGAAGATAAACACAAAGATCACAGAAATTATTCACACAGATTCTGTCATAACTGGACCATGACTTAAAAGAGACTCAAGCAGATGAAAGCAGAAGTACTTGAAAGTTCTGATGATGCCGAAGAGGACAAAGGGGAAGGACACTTACAGCACTTCTGAAGCTGACATGTAGATTATCCTCAGCAAAGATATAAAAGTGCAGAGGCTTTTTGCTGAAGAGAACAGCAGACTTCAGCATGGTGAGAGTCTCCTCTAGCCTGGGGCCACAGGCCACCACAGCCAGGTGACTCCTGTCATCGATATATTCTTTCACAGCAGCACCTGACCTCACTCTACGAGCAGAGACAAAATAAGATTATTCAGTTTTTGACTCAGAAAGAGATTTAAAACATAAAACAGATTAGTTTCAGTGACGCGATCAGGAGTGAACAAAGGAATGAGGCTCAGCTGACTGACACTCAGCCCTGTAGGGTTGGAACTTCCATTAGATTTAATGAAGAGATGTAGAAAGGGATTATTATATGTGCTTCGAGCTGCCTTCAAGTGCTTTACCTATGAAGTACCTTGGAAATCATAAATGTAGCCTGTCACACATTATGAAACTGTGCTAATTTTCAACCATAACTCTGTATAAATGTCATAGTGTGGCAGATCAAATGGTAGCAAGCAATACAGATTCAATAAAAGCTGTGTTATCATAATCTTTGTTACACTGAGATAACACTGAGCATTCATAACATGGAAAATATGTAGCTAATGCTGCACCCAAGACTGTATTACTGTAATCTGTCAATTACGTATTGACAGAAATAAATATAAGAATCAGAATCTGGGTTTATTGCCAAGTACGCATACACTTATAAGGAATTAATATAATGTAAAAATAGGGAACTGTATGAAAATATTATAAACACTATAAAAACAAGATTGAACAAGAAGATGCAAGATGAATTATAGATATGTTCAATTTTACATATTTACAGTATGATCATTATGTAAAGTTCAAGTTTCAGCGTTTAGGTAAATATATTTATGCAGCGCAATGATGGGGTCCCAGGCCTAATATATATAAGTAATATTTTATGTATTACTTTTATATATATTTCTATAAATAGGTGTGTATAGTGGAGTATTTAAGAGAGGCATTCTATGACAAAAATTAAGAGTTAAAGGTTATGATGTAAAGTATTTTCTCTCACATCATCATTTTTCTTTTTTCATCTTTTACTCCTCATGATCATGAGATGGCTTTACGGAGTCAGGTTTATATTAACAGATGTCTGATTTCTGACAACTGCTGGTGAAGGTACACTGGGAAATCAGCAACAGGTTCATCTGTGGACCGTGGAAATAGGTGAAAGTTGCACATTGAAATCTGAGGATCATAAATCAGGTCTTTTATAGAGATGCACAAAATCAGTCATACCTAAGAGTAGAGTCCAAAAAGCAGCTCACTCCACAAACATCAGCAGGCAGTCTCCAATATGGACTCCAGTAAGAAACTGACAGTGATTTACACCTGTCAGAATGAAAACGTGAGCTTTGCGATCCTCAAATTCACATTAAGTTTGGAACAACAGAACCGGATGTGTCTGGATGAGATGTCTCCTGAACTGCCCTCTACAGACTTAGTTGTTAGACAGATGGCTGTGATTTAAATCGGACCAAAGGCAAATGAGGAGCAGAAGCTAAAGCAGAAGTTAGCTTCGGTATTAATGGTTAATCAGGTATCGAGCTTACGTTAGCTAGGAGGAGCTAGCTAATACAAGATACAATTCTGAACACATACAGTTACAGACAGGGGCTAACACAGCACATTAAATTGTATTTAAAATGGCCCAGGCTTTATTTGTTACGATCAGCCCGTTAGCTAACACAAACTAGTTTTATAACTTAGCCGCAACATAAGTTAACCTTAGCCGTCGCGAATGTTAGCTTTAACCACATTACTCATCTCAAATATACCTTAACTAAGCAGCTAGAGCTAGCTAGTGCTAATGAATTGAAGTGACACAGCCAGCTAAACTAAGCTATGCTAAGCTAGGCTAAGCTATGCTAAGCTAGGCTAAGCTAAGCTACCTGTCAAGTCCGTCTTCACCGCGGTCCCGGAGGCCTGCCAGTCCCGGTCCTTTCCTGAGCAGGTGCCCGGTGTCATGACTGCTCCTCCCCGGTATCCCCTGCTCGCTGACGTCCCTCCACTCATCCCTGTCCTCCAAGGTGGAGGCTAGTTTACTGAACACATAGAGCAGTGAGCACAGGGTGAGGATCACGCACAGGAGAAATGCGTGAAGGTAGCATCGCATTTTGCGTTACAGGTTTTAAACGCTAAAGAATCATTTTTGTTGATCTTCGCCACCATGGATCCTCTGGAGTCAGGAGCTAATCCGAAGAGCACAGTTGGTGTTTACACTTTTCAACCCCGCCCACTTCTCTCACACGTGTGTTGGGTTTGATCTTGATCAACCATCTGTCAGTACAGTGTGTGTGTGTGTGTGTGTGTGTGTGTGTGTGTGTGTGT